TCGCGCGATTTTTTACGCTTTATATTCGCCTGCGGCGCTTTATATTCTAAAAATCGATACTTCCATAAATAATGAAAATTTTTAATTAAAAATCGCGCATATTCTAAAACTCGATACTTCGATAAATTATGCAACTTTTTAATCAAAAATCGACCAATAAATAATTAAATTTTTTTATTAAATATCGCGCGATCATTATCTGCATTTTTTTATTGCTTCCGTTTTGTGTTTTTGAGGCATTTTTTCATATGTATGGCAGCACTGACATTTCACTTCAATTGGTGTACAAAGCAAAAGGTGAGGTTAAATTCGGTATTTTTTGCAACTTTAAATGCTAATTACTTTAAAACTATAAGCCTCCGGAGGGTGGGGTCTTCAGATTTAGAATCTGAAAAAGCTCCTCTATACTCCCTAATATTTTTTTTTTTTCAAAGCCTGGATCCGTTTTGGAAAATTTTCCCGTTAATTCAATATGACAACACATTTTAAAGCATTTCGTTGCATCATTTTACCTAAATTGTGCGTTTAAAGTGGCTGACAATAGTTTTGGCTAATTTTGGTTTTCGTTGTTTTCTTTGCTTTGTTTACTTTTCGCTCGTTTTCCAGTGAAACAAGATGGCGTAGAACCCGCTTAAAAAAATCTACTTTTTTCACTCTCTTGTTCTTACGTGATCTTGTGTCTTTCGTTCATGAACAGCCGGTGTGAACAGCGTTCAGCCCATAATTCCAAAACTCGTTTTCAAAGTGTTTTCGTTGTCGGTCAGAACATAGTATGAATATGCATAATTCGTTTCGTGTTCCAAAATTCGCTCCGAGTGCGTTCACTATTGATCATTTGATTTAAATAATTGTTTCTCAAGCATTCAGTACTATTGTTTGACCGGAATGTATATTTTCTTCAGTAATTGATCACATTTTATTAAAATATAAACCTTTAATAGGGTAGAAATTGTGAAATTATTTAGCTTTAACATGTATAGTAGGCCAGAGATGACTGCGGAAAACTGTAACTACTCATGAAGACTTACAATAAAGGCAATGGCGCATATTCATAGTCATATTTAGTACTCAACTAAGTCGAAACTATTCTAAGTCGCAACTAAAGCCATTCATAGTCGCCTTAGTTTCGACTTTTCTGGCTAAGTACCAACTTAAAATTTAGTTTCGGCTGCAGCTGCAACTAAGTCGTAACTAGGAAGAAGTATTTTATCAAATTAAGGGAAAACAGACGAAATATGTAAAATGGTAGAGGGTGATTTTGATAATATTGAATAATCTCCAATTAAGATTTACAAAGAGCGATCCATTTTAATCGGAAGATGAAATTAAATGCAATTCGAATAAAGCTACATCACAATTTTCTAATTGAATAATTTAGATAAATTTTCAAATAATAAGTCAGTTTCCCGCTAGTTCTTTTAAAGGAAAATTGTGCATAACATTTAGATATCTACTATTTGTATGTTTCACAGCATGCTTTCGATAAACATCGACTTCACATCACTGCGGTTGTTCTGGCTATTTCACACAATTAACAAGAAAATAGGTTCGTTGGCGTAGCTGTTAATTATTCATGTTTAACCAAAACTTACAAGTTTTTGCGTTCGCGTACGCAAAAAACTTGCAAAGTAGGGGAAATTGAGAGAGCAAAGTGACATTTCATTTTGAGGGGAAGCTGCTGGTTTCTGCTGGAAAAATTTTTGCCAACAGCAATTTGCCAACAGGAAAACAGCTGATCGGCATTTACGCAAATCACAAAATTGAATTTGATGGTTTGGAAGTTAAAAATTACAAAATGCGACTAATTAAACTTGGAAGAAGTAAGTAGTTATTTGTTTAATCAATAAACTGTGCCAGGATACCACTTTGTAATGAGTTTTCGTACGTTTTAAATTTTACACTTTTGAATGTAAACAAAAATTATATCAGCTGTTCGTCTAACTTGCAAGTTTCTGCAAATTTTCTGTTCGCGTACTATTTTGGATATTTCTCTCTTGTGAGCGAACAGATGACATTTCGCCGGAATTTGGCAGTTGGTTGGTTTCTGTTGGAGATTTTAAACGAACGCACCTAATGATACCTTATTCTTTTACATAATCATGCAATGAAAATAAAAATTACATAAACGGATGAGCAAACTTGATATCATCTAATAAAAATGTAATTTTTCCAAAATATCGTAAAGAAAAATCGATACATTTTCACACTCG